CTTCTGCAAAAACAGGGGAAGCTCAGAAGGTAAATATTTCAAACTTTTCACCAAAACAAATATATGTTCATTTTGTTCCTTCCTGCCATGACTACTGGCAAAATCCAATCAGTGTCTTGTGAATGCACTTGTTTTGTCTTTATTTATTTATTTATTTTTTCCATTTTTCAATTAGATTCTTTGTGGCTCCATAATCTTCAAGACGTAATTGCTTGATGATGAACAGAATGATTTTGGATCTCAAAATACATTTGACCAAAGTATAACTAGTTTAGTTCTCCATTTCTGGTCTTCCCATGGTTAACGTTAAGCTACATGTCTACTACTATTACAGAGAGAATCAAGGAGAAGAAAGAAAATGACATAAGGAATGAAGGGCAAGATGAAGACATGGAGCTTCCTGTATTTCAACTAGCTACAATATTACATGCAACTGATAATTTTTCACTCAGCAACAAACTGGGTCAAGGGGGTTTTGGACCTGTTTACAAGGTATGTTTTGCAGCATATTGATGAAATTGAGCAAAAGAAAATTGCATTTGGTTTTAGAAAAAAGAGGCAAATTAGGCCCCAAAAAAATTATTTTTCACAGAAATATAAGCTCTTGATGAAACTGTGGTGTCTAATCAGTCTTTGAACTTATGAACAACAGCAAACAAGTCCAAAGTGGATGGAAATGTTGACATGGCCAAGTAGTTTTCTTTAATTTTTTTAGTCCTAAGTATGAAAGTATGATATAAGGAGTCCACATCAGTTTTGTCTATGAATAAATGCTGATACAATTTCACCATATCAGATAAATTTAACAGAGACTAACAGCTTTGTCCATTTGGAGTCATTTGCTCCAATTTGTAAGTTTAGGGGCTGATTTGACACTGAAGTTTGATCAGGGGGCTTATTTGCCGGTGAAAGATATTTTAGGTTAAATGTCAATTTGGTTTCTCAACTTTAAAATTTTGCAAAGTTTTGGTCCCTTAATTTTTTTTATGCATTTTTTCCCCCTTAACTATGAAAAAATATATTTTTTTTAATCCTTTTGTTAGTTGGTCTATGAAGTTTAATTATATATGTATATTTTTAGTCCCTCAAATTTAAGATTTTTACACAATTTTTATCCCCCAACTTAAAAGTTCAAGAACTAAAAAATGTGCATATATGGACATATTTAACAGATTAATGAACAAAAAAACTAAAAATATATATATTTTTCAAAGTTGAACGGTCAAAAGAATACAAAAAAACATTAAGGGAGTAAAACTATGCAAAAGCCCAAAGTTGAGAGACCAAAATTAGTATTTAACCAATATTTGATGTGGCTAATTTGCCTATTTTTCCTTTGTGTTTACCACTACTTTGGTCCTTTTTATTTTTCTAGGGGAAATTAGTAGATGGGCAAGAAATTGCTGTGAAAAGGCTTTCCTCGAGTTCTAGACAAGGAGTAAATGAGTTCAAAAATGAGGTTAAATTGATTGCCAAACTTCAGCATCGGAATCTTGTTAGGCTTCTTGGGTGTTGCATTGAAGGGGAGGAGAAGATGCTGGTTTATGAATACATGCCTAACAGAAGCCTGGACTCATTCCTTTTTGGTTAGAAATCCTTCAGAATTTTTCTATCAATCTTGGACTAATGTAGTTATGTTGTATCTATGTCACACATTTTAGATGAAGTAGGATTACCAAATTGTCATGAATGCAATGTTGTTTTCCAGATCAAACAAGGGCTAAAGAATTAGATTGGACCAAGCGTTTCAGGATTATCTGTGGGATTGCGAGGGGGCTTCTCTACCTTCACCAGGATTCCAGATTGCGGATTATTCATAGAGATCTCAAAGCTAGTAATGTTCTTCTTGATAAGGAGATGAACCCAAAAATTTCAGATTTTGGGATGGCCAAAACTTTTGGAGGAGAGCAAACTGAAGGGAGCACAAGCAGAGTTGTTGGCACATAGTAAATATTATTTTAGTACTTACATAGTTTTACTTTTATCTGTAAATGCCAATTAATCTATTCTCTTATGAACATTGTTATGCAGTGGTTATATGGCACCAGAGTATGCCATAGATGGGCTATTCTCAATAAAGTCAGATGTCTTTAGCTTTGGCATATTATTGCTGGAGATAATAAGTGGGATTAAAAATAGAGGGTTTTTTCAGCCAGAACATAGCCTTAACCTCATCGGACATGTAAGCATCCTCAAGCATTCTTTCACTTTCTTTTATATTGAACTCATGAATGACGAACTGGTTTTAATATCCTCTAGGCATGGAAATTATGGAAAGAAGGCAATCCTTTAGAACTTGCAGCTGAATCCTTGGGAGAGGGTTTCACGCTATCAGAAGTTACTAGATGCATCCACATCAGTCTTTTATGTCTACAACAGAATCCTGAGGACAGGCCTCCCATGTCATCGGTGGTGATGATGTTGGGAAGTGAGATCAAATTGCCTCAGCCAAAACAACCTGGTTTCTTGCTTGAAAGGACTGCACTTGAAATGGATTCTTCAACAAGTAAGCATGACTCAACCTCAGTAAACGAAATCACCCACTCGATCTTGGAGGCTCGGTAAAGGATTATATATAATGATCTATGTCATGTCCAGAACATTGTTCATGGGTGCAATTAGTACCTTATGTTTTTTGAACTTCAGGACTAAATAAACCTTAGGCCCTAAACTCCAGTGTAGAAACATACCCTTCAGGTCCTTACTCAGATATCAACAGAAGGATTTAGTGTCCACCCCGAGGCTGTCTTTCATATGTGGTTTGTAACCATATTCATTTTATATTGAAAAAACAAATGAAACCTTCTTAAAGCTTGAATTTCCCTAAATGTAGAAATCTGTCAGAACAATTCCAGATAAGCATGCCACCAAGGCTGCAGTTTGAATAAGTTTATTTTCAAATTAATTACTGTTTTCTGTGTTTTAAAGTTTATAGCAGTTTGTTAAGAAGTTTGTTTGTATTGGATAACTGTTGAGGTAGATTTGTAACTACCTTATCAGTGTGTACCTAAGTATTTTGCATAATGAAAATTTAGTGTGGCTCAAGCACTCAATCTCTCCTTTCTTAGTTTCATATCCTTCAAAATCTAACCCTTAAACCAAAGTAGAATATGAGGATTACTTTTATTGACCCTTGCTTGGATTGCGTGAAACTGTCCTATCAATGCTGTGCATAATTTGCCACGCATACCTTTAAAAATACAGGTTCATCTGACAGATACATGTGCATTTTATAAAATATTTAATAGTAGATTGATTTGGTTCTAGCATTGCTTGCAAGTTGCAATTGTATTGGAACA